ACCAGCCTGGTCAACATGGCAAAACCCTGTCTCTACTAAAAATATAAATAATTAGCTGGGCATGGTGGCGCGCACCTGTAATCCCAGCTACTCAGGAGGCTGAGGCACAAGAATTTCTTGAACTCAGGAGGTGGAGGTTGTGGTGAGACAAACTTGCACCATTGCACTCCAGCCTGGGCAACAGACCAAGACTCTCAAAAAACAAACAAACAGAAAAAACAATTTGAGTCACTGAAACTTCTATAGTCTCTGCCCGTCCAGGATCCACGTGCTCCTGGGTCGGGTCGTTTGGGTCCCATAACTTTGGGCCAGAGGAGATCCGAGTTTGGGCACAGAGGGAGACCAAACTCAGGGGGGATATCCGGTCATGCTCTCTGCTTTGTTTCCAGGGGTCTTCAAGGCTTCCCTGCCCAGGGGCCAGAACCAGAAGGCCAGGAGAGCTGCTGGGGCTAAGGGGCCTAAGGACCTCTTTGCCAGCGGCTCAGACCACCAGGGGCAGGGGCATGGAGCACAGTCAGGGGGCTCCTGGAGCCCCAGCCGGTACTGTGGTGCCCCAGGAGCTGCTGGAAGAGATGCTTTGGTTTTTTCGTGTGGAAGATGGTAAGTGGTGAAAGATTAATGGCAGGGGTCGGGTGTGCCCCTCAACACAGAGCAGAGTTTGGTCGAAGCCCTTGACACTGCGGTCCCCTCCAGGTCAGGCAGCAGGACAGGAACTCAGTCTGGGGTGTCTCAGTACCCAGAGGGGTCTGGCTGGACCCCCACTTCTCCTTTTCTGCAGGTGTAGTCACTCATTTATGCAGCCCTCCAACCATCACAACATTTATTAAGCTCCTACTGTGTACCAGACACTATTGTCAGCACTGGGGCGACAATAGTGAATAAAACACAAAAATCTCTGCCTTCATGGAACGTACATTCTAGTGGGGATTAAAAATAAACAACTAAGGCCGGGCGCGGTGGCTCAAGCCTGTAATCCCAGCACTTTGGGAGGCCGAGGCGGGTGGATCACGAGGTCAAGAGATCGAGACCATCCTGGTCAACATGGTGAAACCCCGTCTCTACTAAAAATACAAAAATCAGCTGGGCATGGTGGCGCGTGCCTGTAATCCCAGCTACTCGGGAGGCTGAGGCAGGAGAATTGCCTGAACCCAGGAGGCGGAGGTTGCAGTGAGCTGAGATTGCGCCACTGCACTCCAGCCTGGCACCTGGCGACGGAGCGAGACTCTGTTTAAAAATAAATAAATAAAATAAAAAATGAAAAATAAACCACTAAAATGCATAGTGCATTGGTGATGAGTAATAAAAAGAAAAATTAAACAGAGAAAGAGAGTAGGAAGCACCCAGCAAGGGTAGTAATGTGGTCAAGGAAGGCCTCACTAAAAAGGTGACATTTTTATCATCAGCAAGGTGACTGTCAGGAAGCTGAGGAATTAGCTATGCAGATTAATTGGGGGAGGAGCATTCCTGGAGGGAGGACAGCAAATGCAAATGCTCTGGGGCTGGACCCTGCTTCATTTTGGCACAGCATGAAGAAATCTTGAATATCCACATTCAGTTTAGCCACTTTATGTATTTGCTGTGGGCAGCTGCCATTCCTTCTACCCCTCTCCCTGCCTTCTTTCTTTCCTTTTTTTTTCTTTTGTCTTTTTTTGGAGGCAGAGTCACTCTGCTCCCAGGCTGGAGTGCAGTGGTGTGATTTCGGCTCACTGCAAGCTCTGCCTCCTGGATTCAAGTGATTCTCATGCCTCAGCCTCCCAAGCAGCTGAGATGACAGGGGTACACTGCCACATCCAGCTAATTTTTGTATTTTTATTATTTTTTAATTTTTATTTTATTATTATTTTTTGAGACAGAGTCTCGTTCAGGCTGGAGTGTGGTGGCACGATCTCAGCTCACTGCAACCTCCGCCTCCCGGGTTCAAGCGATTCTCCTGCCTCAGCCTCACAAGTAGCTGGGACTACACGTGTGCGCCACCACATCCAGCTTTTTGTATTTTTAGTAGAGACGGGGTTTTACCGTTTTAGCCAGGATGGTCTCGATCTCCTGACCTCGCGATCTGTCCGCCTCAGGCTCCCAAAGTGCTGGGATTACAGGCGTTAGCCATCACACCCAGCCTCTATTTTTGTATTTTTTTTTTTTTTTTTTTTTGAGACGGAGTTTCACTCATGTTACCCAGGCTGGAGTGCAATGGCGCGATCTCGGCTCACCGCAACCTCCGCCTCCTGGGTTCAGGCAATTCTCCTGCCTCAGCCTCCTGAGTAGCTGGGATTACAGGCACGCGCCACCATGCCCAGCTAATTTTTTGTATTTTTAGTAGAGACGGGGTTTCACCACGTTGACCAGGATGGTCTCGATCTCTTGACCTCGTGATCCACCCGCCTCGGCCTCCCAAAGTGCTGGGATTACAGGCTTGAGCCACCGCGCCCAGCTATTTTTGTATTTTTAGTAGAGATGAGGTTTCACCATGTTGGCCAGGCTGGTCTCAAACTCCTGACCTCAGGTGATCCACCTGCCTTGGCTTTCCAAAGTGCTGGGATTATAGGTGTGAGCCACTGTGCCCAGCCTTCTTTCTATTCCTTGTGCTACACAGAGGGCCAGCCCCTGGCAAAACTGAAGATTGTAAAGTTTATCTTGGCCCACCTCTCCCCTGCCCTTCCCCCCTGTTGCCCCACTATTATTTAACTGCAGTACTGTCTCCTCCATTAGATTAGGGCTTCTCTAGTGTAGACTGTGTCTTCCACCCTCCTACCTGTTAGGCTGGGAGTGCCCCAGGGCAAGCGGCTAGTCTTGATTAGGGCCTCCGCAGCAAGGGAGAGTTGATGCTGTAAGCTGGGTCTGAGCCCAGGCCCCAGCTGTTAGTGGGCTTGAGAGGTGCCTGGCTGCTCCTCAGGGCTCTGTCCTGTGTGTCCCTCCACAGCATCTCCCTGGAATCATTCCATCCTTGCCCTGGCGGCTGTGGTGGTCATGATAAGCATGGTCCTCCTGGGAAGGAGCATCCAGGCAAGCAGGTGAGGAGCTGGTCCTGGGGACATAGGGTGGTCTCTGAGGGGAATAGGCCCTGCCCTCCCAGAGGGAAATCTAGAGAGGGGTCACTTAGGGATCATGGCTGTCCACCCTCTGGGACAGCAAAATTCAGCCTTCGGGGTCCTTCAAGAACCCAAAGCTGCTAAAAAAAAAAAAGGAAAAAAAAAAAAAAACAGCAACAGGGCCGGACACGGTGGCTCACACCTGTAATTCCAGCACTTGGGAGGCCAAGGTGGACGGATCACCTGAGGTCGGGAGTCCGAGCACGGCCTGACCAAGATGGAGAAACCCTATCTCTACTAAAAACACTAAATTAGCAGGGCGTGGTGGCGCATGCCTGTAATCCCAGCTACTAGGGAGGCTGGGGCAGGAGAATCGCTTGAATCTGGGAGGTGGCGCGGTTGCGGTGAGCCAGAATCTCACCATTGCACTCCAGCCTGGTTAACAAGAGCAAAACTCCATCTCAAAACAACATCAGTCCCTGATGACCACCCCTGGCCCTGGACAGTAGGCAGCCAAGACTTGGAGGAGCGCAGCCATTCAGAAGGGGAGCTTGCCGCTCTCACCGTCAGGACACATGCACCTCAGCAAGGTCAACTCAGGGATGAGTGGCCGTCCACGGGCACAGCACACCTGTTTCCCCTCCGACCCAGCCAGAATCTCTGGGCAGACAGCTTACCACCGCTGGGTCCCTCCACTATGGCCTGGAAGTCTAGGAGTATCTTGAATAAAACCAATCTGGAGAGAGGACAGACGCGTGGGAGTCATTAGAAGGTTAAGGAAGCGGGCAGTGGGAGCCAGTGAAGGTAGCTGCGGGAGGGGAGTGATGTGTACACGATGGGGTTTTAGAAACATAGCTGGTGTTGTGCAGAGGCTGGTTTGGAGAAGGAAACACCCAGAGGCAGAGATTACTTAGAAATTTCCTGCAGTGGTGTGAGGGATGAGGTCTGTGGTGACAAGGACCTGTACAGTGTGGTTGGGTGAAAAGAACACGGGACCCAGAGTCAGGAGGCTGAAGTGCACACCCCAGTTATGTGCACCATTCGGCTCTTTTATTTATTTATTTTTGACACAGAGTCTCTGTGTCGCCCAGGCTGGAGTGCAATGGTGCAATCTCAGCTCACGGGCACCATCTTCTGCCTCCCAGGTTCAAGCCACTTTCCTGCTTCAGCCTCCCAAGTAGCTGCAATTACAGACACAACCACATCCAGCTAATTTTTGTATTTTTAGTAGAGATGGGATTTTGCCATGTTGGCCAGACTGGTCTCAAATACCTGGCCTCAAGTGATCCACCAGCCTCGGCCTCCCAAAGTGCTGGGATTACAGGCGTGAGCCACTGCCTCCAGCCTCCTTGAGCGTTTCCTCACTTGGAAGGTGTGGGGTGGCAATGATATTTGAGCTCACAGGTGACAGTAAAGATTCCTTGAGATGACACACACACAAGCATAAGCCATTTCTCTGTTGAAGGAATATCCAACATTGCTGCTTCTTCCCCCAGCCCCCACACCGTAGCTCCCAAACTGCATATAGGATTTTCCCCTGAGACTCTTTAAGGCATTTGGGAGACCCAGTCCTGCCCCAACCACTCAGCCTCCCTGGTTAATACTGTTCTCTGTCCCCCTAGAAGTCAAAAGATGCAGTCACCAGAAAAAGAAACTCCAGAAGTCCTCCATTTGGATGAGGCCAGAACCAAGGATCACAACAGCCTAAACAACCTCAGAGAGACTCTGCTCTCAGAAAAGCCGGTGGAACTTGAGTTAAAAGAGAGAGATGTGCTGTCAGTTTTCCTTCCAGATGTACCAGAAACTGAGAGCTAGTGAGGGGTCAGAGAAGCCCCACCCTAAGCCAGGCACAGGATCTGGGCTCAGCTCAGTGGCCTGAAACCTCAGATTTTACAGCCTCTCCCAAGCAGCCTGCTTTTTTTTTTTTTTTTTTTTTAAAGCAGATACGATGAATGAACTGCAAGCAAAGTAAAATTCTGTTATTAAAAAAATCTTTTATTAAAATGCTCCTGGAAGCGAGCGGGTGGTATTACAGTTTGTTCAGAGGGTGGTGATACACACACACACACACAAGTGGCTTGGAGCAAAAGTGCAAAATCCGTATCTGGCCTGCGTGTCAGGAAGCCTGGCTAGGACTCTAAGCATGTGGTCTTGAACAGTTCACAACCCCCTCTGACCTCAGCTCCTCCATTTACAGAACGAGGCTGAAGACTGGGTCAGAGACGCTGTTTGCAATCCAACAGCAGTCTTGAGACTGCTAAGAGGGGAAGGGCAGGATTCCAGGCTCAGAATCCCCTTCCCAATCCTTCCACCCACCAGGGCCCTCTCCTTTCCCTGCTTATCTGCTAAGAATCTGTGCAACACTTCCTTTGGACTTGGTGTGTGGTAAACAAAATCAGATAACTACCACACTGCCTGCCTCGGAGGGCCTTTTCTTGCCGACGGTGGGATCCCAGAGGAGTGTCCTGATCCCACGGTATTCTGGGATATAAGCTGTGGTGACACCAGCAAATAACATACGCAAAAATTTGCTTTATTAACCCAAAATGATGTAGGTTCTAAAGTGGGCTTTGAACACTCAGACCCATTGCTGAGGGTCCTGGGTCCTGCCAAACCAGAAGACAAACAGCTTTACTGTTTTTCCATCTGCAAGGAGGCATGCCCTGTAGCCCTGGATGGGTCTGATGCTGCTGTGGGCTCCCTGGAGCCCTGGGTAACTCACTGGAGTGACGACTTTCTTCCGAAGCCTGACCATTAAACTTGAGGGAGCTGGCCCTGCGGTTCTATGGACAGAGTCCTTAACAGTGGGAAAGCATGGGGCCTCTGCTGGTGAAAGAACTCTGGAGTTCCTTACATTGGACAGCCCCCTCCCTTTTACCCTCATTGAGAGGCCAAGTGCTGGAAATACCCCTTCCTGGGACCTCTTTGCCCCGCCCAGGCGGCCCATTGGATTATTTTAACTAGACTTTCCTTGGATAAACTGTGGAATTTGTAGCCTGGGCCTTCTGTGAAGTCAGCAGACGACAGCAGGGCCTGGCTCTGCCTCTGACGCTGCAGCCGCCCTGCCTGTCCCGTCCACCAGGTGGCACAGGGACCCCAGAGCGGTCATTCTGCAGGCCGTTCTCAGGCCTGACATTGACAGAGCTGTCCACCCAGACCTTCCACGGAGGGCCACAGCTGGCCCATCTGCAGCTGCAGCAGGAAAGGCTGATGGCAGCAGGATGGACACTGCAATTTCTTCCTACTTAAGGCTGACCCCAGGTCTCTGGGTTGTCGCAGTGGCCGTTTCCCTCCAGGGCCACAGATGTGGTGGTTACCATGAAGAGCAAGGCCTGGAGGGAACAGAGGCAGCATCCCTGCCTGCCACTCCAGCTCACACAGGGAACTGAATGTAGACACTGCTTGGTGCTGGAGGCGGGGTCTGGTGTCCACCAGAGGGAAAGGCTGGTGGTAAGAAGCCAGCCCCTGTCCTGCTGAAGTCCTGTCCAGCCACCGAGCCCAGAGTTCCTGCGGAGGGGCCCTCAGAAGATCTTGAAGCCCTTCAGGAGGGTCAGGGTAGGTGCCTTGCGCTTGCTCTGGGCCCGGGATGACTTCACAGTGACCAGCTTGGCCTGGGCCACGGTGGGCATCTCCTTCAGGCTGACAGTGGAGAGCGTGTTGAAGGTGCAGCTGGCCAGCCCATGGCGGGCGGTGAGCGGGGCCTGGTGGGGCAGGGCCCTATCCTCAGAGATGAAGAGGGGCCGGGTCAGGGGGCTCTTCTCCAGCTCCCGCCGTGCCTCTCGCACTGCCTCGTGGAAGACGTGCTGCACGTGCTCAAAGTCCAGACAGGCGGAGACCTCGAAAAACAGGCACCCAAACCTGCCTGCCAAGGCCACACCCTCTGCCTTGGTGACTTGCCTGGTGAGGAAGCAGGGTGAGGCAGGGAGTTAGGAGCAGGCTGTGCCAAGTTGGGCAGACCAGCTCCTATACCCAGTGCCCCACGGACTAGCTGGGTGGTCTGAGATCATCTTCATCTCTCTGAGTCTCCGTGTTCTCATCAGTACAATGGGTTACTGACCTCTGCCTCTCAGGGTTGTTAGGATTACAAAAGACAATTTGTACCTGGCACAGATTCAGTGCTCAATAAATGGTGGCTGATGTCGCCCAAGCCAGAATTTCAGGATGAGGATGAGGGTAAGAAGCTGTTCCAAATTGCCCGTGCTAGACCCTGCCTGTGGCTGGAGGAAGCAGGCCATTCCCAGCTCCATCTCTTCTCTACCCCAACATGGGTCCCTGGGGCAGGAAACAGGCCACCCACAGCTCTGGCTTGTGGGATCAGCTCTAGAGAGAGGCGGTCATTTGCACTGAAGGGTTAGGCCACAGAGGTGATTCCAGAAGCCTGCGGTTGGCAGAGTTCTCAGGGCTCCTGGGGTGTTCTCAGGGCAGGAGTGAGCAGGGGTGAAAACATTTCATGGTGAGGAGGGCAAAAGGAGAGAGGGGGCAACACCTATTCCAATTTGGTTCAACACCACCTCCCGTGAGGGGAGGATCGAGTATCTGAAACTCGGGAAGGTCCTGGAGGCTTCTGGACTGAAAGCCGTGGGACTTGAAGTGGCAGGAAAAAGAAGGCTGGCCCTCAGGTAGGTCAGATGTCTAGAAGAGGGAAGAGACGGGGGTCCCTGAGGTCTTGGGGCTGAGATTCCACTGACGGGATCTTTCTGACCTATGGCTGAGCAGACACTGCCCATTCCCAAGGATGATGGCACAGCCGCCAGATGAGAGGAGGCACTCGAGTGGGCCATGGTGGGGAAAGTTTCTGAGCCAAGGCTGACCTGGCAGGAGCAGGGTCTGAGAATGGGCTAGCTGCCCAGGGTGCCACTCCATCGGTGGGGGGAGTCTCAGAGACAGAGAGAGAGAATGACTGGGACTAAGAGTCAGAGGCATCGAATCCACGCTCCACCCGGGACTGGTGTTCTGTCGGAAAGCTCACCACTTCCTAAGGAACCCTTCTGGGAAGAATACTTGCTATTGTTTACTTTTATGATGAGCTTGAATCTGCAGCTTGAAGAATGAATTCTCACAAACACAAACCCTGTGTTTGCATGCACGTGTGTGAGTGTGTGACGGAGGCGCAGGACATTGTCCTTTGTCTTATTTTGTTATATCCTAGTGAAAATTTTATCAGTGGCTTGGGAAGCACCACCCTAACCCACATTTTACCCTTTTAGCTGTGAGACAGTCATGGGAGACAGGGACCAATGCTCAGCAAAAAGTTAGATTTCCTGTGCTTCCCGGAATCCTAATCTACTGAACTCGGGACTTGGTCAAAGAATGAAATCGGGATACGTTGTCATAAGTTGGGGTTTTTTTTGTTGTTTTTTGAGACGGAGTCTTGTTCTGTCACCGAGGCTGGAGTACAGTGGCACGATCTCGGCTCACTGCAACCTCTGCCTGCTGGGTTTAAGCAATTCTCTGCCTCAGCCTCCCAAGTAGCTGGGATTACAGGTGCCCGCCACTACGCCCGGCTAATTTTTGTATATTAGTAGAGATGGGGTTTCACCATCTTGGCCAGGCTGGTCTTGAACTCCTGACCTCGTGATCCACCCACCTTGACCTCCCAAAGTGCTAGGATTACAGACATGAGCCGCCGTGCCTGGTCGTCCTAAGTTGTTTTCAGGGAACGGGTGGGATCAGCTTCATTTGAGCATGTATTCTTTGTTATTTGCTCCCAAACTATTTTAGACAATCCCTTTGGCAAAGATTGGGGTCAAAAAAGTGATCCGTAATTTTTTTCCCTGTACTAAAAACTGGTCACAATCCTGTGATTCCTCAAAGGCTACCTTCAACAGCTTTCAGGTCACACGACTTCTCTCATTCCCTGAGACACAATTTGCCTGGGTCTGAGGGCTTGGCCACCTTCGAAGGCCTCTTACCAAAGTCCCCCTTCACGATCCCACACCTCTCTTTTTCCCATGGCCCATCTGACCCCTTTGAAACAAAGGGTCCCCTACTTGCTAACACCAGTCAATGTGCCCCTGGGGCCTCGGGAAGCAAGACTGACCAGCGAGAGCAGGGAGGGATGCGTGGCTGATGGAAGGGGCTACCTCTTGCAGGTAGACCGGCCACATAGAACCAAGGTCAGTGTTGGAGAAATCCAGCGGCATTACTCATCAATTACAAGCATCGCAGAGTCAAACGCCTCAGGGCCAGGCAGGCAACTTGAACGTGTGGAGAGGGTGGAGGTAAAGCACAGGGAGTGTCGCAGCCTCCGGTAGGCTGGAGAAAGTATGTCCCACCTCAAAGCATTCCAGTTCTAGGTCTTGTAAAACACTGTGCCAGCCAAGCAAAATACCACTGCAGTGTTCTTCAGTCATGCGCCCTCTGGCCCAGTCTATGACCTCTGATTCGAGTCCAACCCTTTTTAAGAGAACCTGCCCTCAGCCCAGCCAACAGTGGGAGTGAGCCTGGGGGGCTGGGGCTGGGTGAGGCGAGAGCCAGCTGGACCAGAGCAAGACACCTGACCAAGGAGCCAACCAGAGCCTCTCTCCTTAAAATTGGAATTGGGCGCCAGACCAGTCAGCTGCTGGGAGTGGGGCCAGAAGGTCATACAGACTCAGGCAAGAAGGGTGAGTCCAAGAGAGCCCAGAGACCCAAGAGGGTGGAAGGAGTGGACTCTGACTTTCAGGGTACAGCCCCTGTGTGACCCAGAAACCTTTCCTTTCAAGTCCTTGGCTGCCTGGAAGACCAACATCTACCACATCCTTACAACATAATCCCTTCGGCCAGGCACGGTGGCTCAGGCCTGTAATCCCAGCACTTTGGAAGGCCGAAGCAGGCGGATCATCTGAGGTCAGAAGTTCAAAACCAGCCTAGCCAACATGGCGAAACCCTGTCTCTACTAAAAATAAAAAAAATTATCCAGGTGTGGTGGCAGGCGCCTGTAATCCTAGCTACTGGAGAGGCTGAGGCAGGGGAATCACTTGAACCCGGCAGGCAGAGGTTATAGTGAGCTTAAGACGGTGCCATTGCACTCCAGCCTGAGCAACAGTGAGACTCAGTCTCAGAAAACAAACCAACGAACGTATAATCCCTACTATCTCAATTCAAAGGGATGACTGTTCTTAGCAGCCCACCGATCCCTAAAGATGCCACCTGCCCTTACAAGCGAAGAAAGCTAGCTCCAGAGACAAGGGCCAAGCAGCCCGTGCTCACCTGTACGGGGCCATGTCCAGCTTGTTGCCCAGCAGCAGGGCAGGGAAGCTGCGCTGTGTCTCCTTCGCGTGCAAGGCAAGCAGCTCCAGGTAGCTGCTGCTGCCCTCGAAGCTCTGACGGCTGTCGACGCTGTACACCACCAGGAAGGCGTGGGCCCAGTTCAGGTAGCGCTCACAGTTCCTGGGGGTGTCCTGGGGTGAAGGAGAGAATCCCCGCCAGGGGCAGAGGAGGTTAGGGTAAAGGCCTTCACCTGAGCCACCCAATCCCACCTCCCCACTCCCCGCGTCTCTGTATATTGTTCCTCAGCACAGCCCTTTCAAAGGGGCACTTGACTGTGGATTTGGCTTGGTGTGAAAGGAGACATTGTCTCATGAACCTCCCTCCCACCATCCAGCCAGAGACTGGGAGACCTTGCCCCCTTGGACACAGAGCCAAAGACTCTGGCATGGACCCTACAGAGACCTGGCTGTCCCTGGGCACCACTGGTTTTGGGTCAAGTTCATGCTGCCCCTTTGGGTTCTGAGAGTAACTGGCATCCAGCCTTGGCAGGGCGTAGCGAGGACATGGGGGGAGATTTGCGTGTGGGAGGGACCTGGGCTGAGGGGCTCTCACCAGGAGCGTCTGTGTAACCAGGTCTGCTCCTGCCTCCTCATGTGCACTAGCACAGTGCCCCATAGCACAGGATCTCAGCGCAGATGCCAGCAACCATCAGGTCTCTCCAGGCCCTGTCCCATCCTTCTCATTTGGTAAAGGAAGGATTCAGGGCCAAAGAGGTCAAGTGCCTCATTCAGGGTTACACAGCAAACTTGAGCTAAAAAGGCATCTAAATGCCCATCTGAGGACACATACTCTGGGCCAGGACTTCTCAGGAGGCGACACTGATTTGTAGCAGTGCCTAGGTGATGGGGGTAATGTTACCAGGTCTGCAGTGTCCATGACCCTCAGGTGGACGGGCTGGTGGTCCACAGTCTCCTCGGAGCTGTAGGTGTCCTCTACAACACAGACGGTCAGCTGGGTCAGACACGGTGCTTTGGATCTAAGTTTGAGCTTCCCTCTGTGCTAGACCCTTGTGGGGCCTTGGGGACCTTAGGAGCTGCTCTGGGGCTGGGACCACTGGAAAGTCCTTGGTTCTCACCCACATGGAAGCTACAAGCAGAACCTCCCATCAAGGAGTTGCTGCTCCACCTGCAGTGCTCAGCATCAGTGGTCACTCACAGACCACGCCTCGGAGGCGGAACTGTGTTCTGGGCCCAAACACAAAACCAGCAGGATGGAGTCAAGTGTGTGGCCCCAGGACCCTGTTAGCAGCACAGGCTGGCTCAGGAGCTGCACTGCCAGTCCCTCCATCCCAGAGCCCCAAGCTTTCCTACCCTCTTCCCCTCCGACCATCCTCCTGCCCCCAGTGGGAGAAGAGACAAGGAAAAAGAGAAGTACACAATACGATGGGGTGTGGCAGTCAGACCCCACTTAGAAACTTCGAGAAGGGCCGGGCGCAGTGGCTGACCCCTGTAATCCCAGCACTTTGGGAGGCTGAGGTGGGTAGATCACCTGAGGTCAGGAGTTCAAGACCAGCTTGGCCAACATGGAGAAACCCCCCGACTACAACAATAAAAAATGCATCTGGGCATGATGGTGGGCGCCTGTAATCCCAGCTACCTGGGAGACTGAGGCAAGAGAATCGCTTGAGCCCAGGAGGCGAAGGCTGCAGTGAGCTGCACTCCAGCCTGGGCGACAGAATGAGACGCTGTCTCAAAAAAAAAAAAAAAGTTCGGAGAAGGTTTTACAAATGATCCTTGTCACTTGTCAACATGACAGCAGGGGAGTCTAGTGTAGTCAAAAGTTTTCAGTTGGAGAACGTGGAACTAAACCCAATGTCAGCTACTTTTTAGCTGTGTGACTTGGCCAAATAACTTCAGCTCTCTGAGGCTGTTTCCTCATTTTAAAATGAGAATACTATGATAATATTGCTGACAGTTTCCAAGCCTTTCCTCCTGTCTCTGGCGCTGTGTGAAGTGCTTGACGTGAGCTCATTTAACAGTCCCATCTCAATTAAAGACTCAAACATAAGACCTAACACCATAAAAACCCTAGAAGAAAATCTAGGCAAAACCATTCAGGACATAGGCCTAGGCAAGGACTTCATGACCAAAACACCAAAAGCATCAGCAACAAAAGCCAAAATAGACAAATGGGACCTAATCAAACTCCACAGCTTCTGCACAGCAAAAGAAACAGTCATTGGAGTGAATTGGCAACCAACAGATTGGGAAAAAATTTTTGCAATCTACCCATCTGACAAAGGGCTGATATCCAGAATTTACAAAGAACTAAAACAGATTTACAAGAAAAAAACTAACAAGCCCATTCAAAAGTGGACAAAGGATATGAACAGAGACTTTACAAAAGAAGACATACAGGAGGCCAACAAACATATGAAAAAATGCTCATCATCACTGGTCATCAGAGAAATGCAAATCAAAACAACACTGAGATACCATCTCACGCCAGTTAGAATGGCGATCATTAAAAAATCTGGAGACAACAGATGCTGGAGAGGATGTGGAGAAATAGGAACACTTTTACACTGTTGGTGGGAGTGTAAATTAGTTCAACCATTGTGGAAGACAGTGTGGCGATTCCTCAAGGACCTAGAAATAGAAATTCCATTTGACCCAGCAATCCCATGACTGGGTATGTATCCAAAAGATTACAAATCGTTCTACTATAAGGACACATGCACATGAATGTCATTGCAGCACAGTTTACAATAGCAAAGACTTGGAACCAACCCAAATGCCCATCGATGATAGACTGGACAGGGAAAATGTGGCACATATACACCATGGAATACTATGCAGCCATCAAAAATGATGACTTTGTGTCCTTTGTAGGGACATGGATGAACGTGGAAACCATCATTCTCAGCAAACTGACACAAGAACAGAAAATCAAACATCGCATGTTCTCACTCATAGGTAGGTGTTGAACAATGAGAACACATGGACCCAGGGAGGGGAGCATCACACACTGTCTAGGGGGGAACTAGGGGAGGGACAGCAGGGGGTGGGGAGTTGGGGAGAGATAGCATGGGGAGAAATGCCAGATATAGGTGATGGGGAGGAAGACAGCACATCACACTGCCATGTGTGTACCTCTGCAACAATCTTGCATGTTCTTCACATGTACCCCAACCTAAAATGCAATAAAAAAAAAAAGTCCCATCTCCCAGGGCTCTGTAAGGACTGGATGGGCCCCCCTGGGCCTGGGGCCTGGCTCCCCGTACATGCCTGGTGAGGGCAGTGGGAACCATGGTGTTCCAAAGTTAATTGGGCAGAATCACATTCCCAGGGTTTTTTTTTTTTTTTTTTACTTTTTATTTTCAAACAACTTCAGACTGACATAGAAGTTGTAAAACAGTACAGAGTTCCTGTGTACTCTTCACTCAGCTTACCCCAATGTCATCACCTAACACAACCACAGCCCAAGGACCACAAAGAAACTTACATTGATACAGTTCTATGAACCAAACTAGTGACCTTATTTGAATTTCTTGAGCTGTTACCTTTTTATATATATCGTTCTCATGATCTCAAATCTGAGAAAGCAGCAGTGGCCAGGCATGCAGAGGACCTCGTGGCCATGTTGGCAGTCATTCTCCCCACCCCAACCTGCCTGTGTCATTGGCCCACATGGGTAAGTTCACTTGGTTATCACCTTTCCCTAGGTGTCCCCTGCCCTAGTGACCCTAAAGAAGACCCCCTTAGGAGAGCTGGGATGCTCTCTACCCTCCTGGCAGCATCCACTGTGAGAGGGCATGCCCCCAACCCTGGCTGAATTTACAGTCAAACACTTCTCTCTGAGGGCCACTGGCAGCCAAGCTGGCCTGGACACACTCCAGGTCCCCTAGCATCCAGCATGAATCACAGACAGCTTCTTGTCCCCAGCCTGCTTTGGGGACTTGGATAAATAGCTGCTCTTATGCAAAGACAAAAAAAAAAAATGTAATGGAAACTATGTCCCAAATGTTTAACTGTATTTGGTCCACGAAGAGCTGCCCCTAGAGGCTTAGACATCTCTTTCAGATCTGTCTTTATTTTCCAGTCAAAGATGTCAGATGCACCCCTTTTAAGGGTTCCTCCCAATGGGCTCAGTGTCCTGCCCACCCCAGTGAAAGGCGCCAGCCGCACCTTGGCCTCCTGCTGACAACATGACAGCCTTTCAAGGTTGCTGTTAGCGCCACTGTAGAGAGATGACGAGGTGAAGGCCCAGAGAAGGGATCTCACCCAAGGCCACACAGCAGAAGGAACTTGAACTTGCCTAAGGCCCAATCAGCAGAAGGAACTTGAACTCAGGGCTTCTAGGCTGGGACCCCCTCACCCCCTGACTGCTCAGTGAATCAGCCCACCCTCCAGCTCTGTCTGGGCAGGGCCCAAGGGAAGACCAGAATTGCCCAGTCCAGCAGGGACGTGGAACATGGCTGCGTGGGCTGGAAGAAGCCTCGGAGCTCATGCTGCCCAGCTCCCTTTACAAAAGAGGTGACCAGCCTCAGGGGCTAGGGCAGGAGTGAGGGCTCCTTTCAGTCACAGTGATGTCCAGTCCAGTCACCAAGTCCCTGCCTCAGGATACTCTGCTGTCCTTAAATATATGGTCTTCCCAATACCTGGTTCTAATTACTATTCCATGGACTTTTGTGCTGAGAAAAGAGTCATTTCCCAAAGCTGTTTTCCTCTCATTTACAGTAATAATAATTTTTTTTTTTGAGACAGAGTCTTGCTCTGTCACCCAGGCTGGAGTGCAATGGCACGATCTCGGCTCACTACAACCTCTGCCTCCTGGGTTCAAGTGATTCTCCTGCTTCAACCTCCTGAGTTGCTGGGATTACAGGCATGCACCACCATGCCCAGCTAAATTTTTTTTTTTTTTTTGTATTTTTAGTACAGACAGGGTTTCACCAGGTTGGCCAGTCTGGTCTCGAACTCCTGACCTCAGAATATCCACCCACCTCAACCTCCCAAACTGCTGGGATTACAGGCAGGACCCTCCACACCCAGCCCAGTAATGATAATAATTTTAAAGGTACCACAAAAGCTCACGTCAGAGGGTATGCAGGGAGCTGCCTCAGAAATGGTGCCTATGCCCTCACTGGAGCAGAAGGAGGGCACGAGAAGCGAGAAGCTGACGTTCTCCCGGGGCTGAGTCAGATGAGGCACCCCTGGCCCTTATGGGAGAGGAGAATATTCTCCTGCAGACCCCTGACCATTCCTGCGGGGCTCAGCCCAGGCAGAGCCCTTCCAGAGACACGGAATCTCTCAGCTCCTACCAGCCACACCCCAGAACACCGCACAACTCTTACACAGCCAGAGCGCAGGCAGGCCATTAGTGCCATCTTCCAGACAGGGAAACCGAGGCTCAGAGGGCCCTGTGCCACACAGACCTCTGGCTCCAGGCTCTCTCTGACATGAGGCTGCTCCTAGCGGAGAGCCACACCTCATCTTCCTTTGTGCCTCCATAATCTTAGGCAAATCATTGGGCCCTCTCCTCCTCCATTTCTCCACCTATAAAATGGGGATCATAATGGGAGCTCTTCTTTAAAGGGTAATCCTAAAACCAGAATTTACCGCCACAGTTAACCCTCGTCTACACTGAGCCTAGTACCGTGCTACCTGCTGGAAACGGGAATGAGTCTCCACCCTCAAGGCTCACCAAATGAGCTCAGGCTCTCAGAAGACCTAGGAAGAGCGTAGAGAGTTGTTTTACCAGGACTGCTGATGGCTACCCACCCCCTCCCCCCCAGAGTGTTGGGACCTTTATCCACAGAAGGAAACATTCTCGTCCCAGTCTCTGCTGCTGGAACCAACAATGGGACAGTGGCCGGAATCTTTAGACTCTTCTCAGCAGAACCTTTGAGGAGTGGCCCCAGCCTCCCAGAGAGCCTGGGGGGAATGTCTGCTTGGCTCTCTGACTCGCCGGCTGTCAGTATAGCAGGAGAGGCCACAGGCTGAAGGGACTGACCACTGTGGGGCTGCCTGCTTCCCAGACAGTCTGACCACGCATTCCACTACCAGTGAGAACTCCAAAATTACTCAATCAGGAGGCTCAAACCACCACTGTAATAGGCTCATCCAGTGGGACCCCATGACAGTATGAATTGGAGGGCAGGGAGGAAGAGAGACCAGAGGTGAGTTGCCAGGAAAAATACGAGATGCCCAGTTAAATCTGTCAAACAAAAAGGAATAATTTTTAGTGTACACATGACCCATGCAATATTTGAATCAGGCCGAATATGTCTTTTGAGGCCCCGTCCTTGGGAATCCCCTTTGTCCTTTCCCAGACACTGTGTCTGTTTGTGTGCCTTTCCTTCCCGCCCTCCCACCTCACCTCTGCCCTCAGTTTCTCCGCCCCATCTCTATTCCATGCCCTGGCCTCTCCCAACACCTCCCCGGCCAGCACATCACTGTGCTGTGTGTCCTCCTCTCTCCGGAGCTGACCTCTGCTAATCAAAGGGGCTCCTCTGGGTGACCTTGGCCCAGTGTCCTCAGCTCCTTGGACCTGTTTCCTTCACAGTAGCACTGAAGGGCTGTGGCAAGGCACCAAGGGTCAAGCAGAGCTTTGAAAAACAAACCCCTTAGGGACTGTCACCATGTCACCTGCCCTGCATCCCTGACTTACCCATGGGAATCCCTTTGCTCTCTCTGACACAGAGGGGGGTTCTGTTTAAAATCTGGAAGCAGCAGCAGGGCATGGTGGCTTATGCCTATAATCCCAGCACTTTGGGAGGCTGAGGTGGGTGGATCACCTGATGCCAGGAGTTTGAGACCAGCCTGGTCAACGTGGTGAAACCCCATCTCTTAAAGAAAAATAAAATAAAATAAAATTTGGAAGAAGAGCTTCTGCTACCTAAGGAAAAGCTTTTCTCTTTCTTTTTTTTTTTTTTTTTTTTTTTGAGACGGAGTTTCTCTCTTGTTACCCAGGCTGGAGTGCAATGGCGCGATCTCGGCTCACCGCAACCTCCGCCTCCGGGGTTCAGGCAATTCTCCTGCCTCAGCCTCCTGAGTAGCTGGGATTACAGGCACGCGCCACCATGCCCAGCTAATGTTTTGTATTTTTAGTAGTGACGGGGTTTCACCGTGTTGACCAGGATGGTCTCGATCTCTTGACCTCGTGATCCACCCGCCTCGGCCTCCCAAAGTGCTGGGATTACAGGCTTGAGCCACCGCGCCCGGCCCGGAAAAGCTTTTTTCAAACTAAATAGCCCTGATGTCTCTGCCTGCTCCAACGCTGGGATTTGGTGCTGGACTCCAGCCTGAACTAAGGGGCTGGGCACCACTGGGGTAAGGAGCTCTCCCCTCCAGGTGTGGCAGCAGCACTGCATCACTGGCCTGCTGCAGGCAGTGCAGGGGCTTCCACTTGTGTCACAGAGCCCTGGGCTTCTTTGGGGGGCTCTCAGCCATCCTATGAATGCTTTATTTGATTTTTATGAATGAGGAAAATAATCCAAGACTGCTGCACCCATTTTCAAAAGGCTAAGACTGGCCAGGCGCGGTGGCTCACGTCTGTAATCCCAGCAGTTTGGGAGGCTGAGGTGGGCGGATCACGAGGTCAAGAGATCAAGACCATCCTGGCCAACATGGTGAATCCCGTCTCTACTAAAAACGCAAAAGTTAGCCAGGCGGGTGGCACCCGCCTGTAGTCCCAGCTACTTGGGAGGCTGAGGCAGAAAAATCGCTTGAACCTGGGAGGTGGAGGTTGCAGCCAGCGGAGTTCGCACCACTGCACTCCAGCCTGGCAACAAAGCGAGATGCCATCTCAAACCCAAAGAACAAAACACATGGCTAAGATCACCCAGACACCTTATTGCTCTCAGTGAAGAGTTTACAACAGATAAATGTTATACATTGAGCTTTAAGCTACATTTATACTGACAAAATCCTGCTTTGATTTGTTCTAGAAGGGAATCTAAGCCACTGTGTACAGGAAGCCATTTGAGGAGGAAGGAAAAGCAAAAATGCACTGAGTGCCTGATGCGGGCCAAGTGCTAGGCTGGAGCAATAATGTGTGTTATTGCTTTAATCCTCACGGCAATTCTCTGAGATAGGTATTTTTAACGCCCCTTTTACAGACCAGAAAACAGTAGCTCAGAGAGGTTAGCTGACTGGCTCAAGTTGCCAATAAGGGGCCGAGCCAGGGAGGATTGAAACCCAGCTCTGACTGACACCGAAACACTCCTTTCTCCAATATACCATGACGCAGCAATAAAAACGAGAGTTGTTTTCTCATACGGTTAAAAAACTGGTTCAGAAGCCAGCTGCACTACAGAATTTCTCAAACGTCTTGCCCGGATTTTCTGGAAGAGAACACTGAGTGACCGTCTTGAAGAATAACACCTATTTGTTTCTTGATTTTTCTCTTTTTTTTTTTTTTTTTGAGATGGAATCTCGCTGTTGCCCAGGCTGGAGTGCAGTGGTGCAATCTCGGCTCACTGCAACCCTTTGCCTCCCAGGTTCAAGCGATTCTCCTGCCTTAGCCTCCGTAGAAGCTGGGATTACAGGCGCATGCCACTATGCCCAGCTAACTTGTATTTTTAGTAGAGACGGGGTGTCTCCATGTTGGCCAGGCTGGTCATTAACTCCTGACATCAGGTGATCCACCTGCCTCAGCCTCCCAAAGTCCGGAGGTTACAGGCTGAGCCACCATATCCGGCCCAAGAATAGTGCTTGTTTGGATGTGGATGTCCTGGTATGTTTATTTTCATTTTCTTAAGTTTCATCACACCTCATATTTTAGGGTAAATCAGCCTCTCTTAGTTATGTGAACTGGGCCAACGCCCCCCCACCCCGATCGTCTGGGGTGGGCTGTGGAAGGGGTCTTTCTGACACTTAAAACATCTTCCCCCATGGGCTGAGTCACGCTGGCAGCTTCTTCCTTCTGTCCCCAGACATGCAGTCCTGGTCAGCACCCACCCACGGGGTAGGTCCCAGGGGGCACTCCAGGTGGGGTGCAGGTAGAAGGAGGTAGGGAGGAGTAGTTTCTTACCCAAGTTGGGGTCGTATTCGCTGATAAACCTCTTGGTCAGAAACTTCACAGTCAGGGCTGCAAGAAGCAGAAAGAGGTTGGCTCTGTCTCTCCTGCTGTGTCTAGCTGCTGGCCCCTTGTTTTAGGGAGGCCTTATCTAACCTCTGTGATCCCCACCTGACACCAATCTCAGCTCTCCCAGAGAACAAAGCTAGGGAACTGAGGAATTAGTTTGAGAGGCTCAGAAGAAACCAGAAATAGGGGGAGAGCCAAGTGCCTCTAATTGCACCCTGAAAATTTCTTTCAATGGCAAGGAAAGCAATGAGAGGCGAGCCTAAGGGGTGTCTGTGAAGGTATGAACTCAGCGGTCAGGACACAAGCAAACATTACCCTAGGGTCAGCCTGGCGAAACCCCAACTGAAGGGAGGTGTCGCCCACCCCAGACAAATCACAAAGATTCTGAAGTGTGGGGCTATTTATTCCAGACTTTGGCTACAAGCCAAAAACACAGGATGAGCAGAGTTGATCGGGGTTGATCCTTGGGTAGGGTATAAATCCCCAAGCGGCTGGGATTTCCAGGTGAGGTCTGTGTCCCAAAGAAACACACTCTGGTCCTGGTCCCCCATATCACAAGTCTTGGCTCTCTCTGGGGCCTCCACAGCCAACACAGGTATCTCCGCAAAATGTAAAACTCAAGAATTAAGCTCTCTTTGGTTCAGAGCGTAGCCACGTAATGCAAGGACCAACCAACTACTGTATTGAACCCTCAAAAAGTAATGTTCACTACTGCTTGTTTGGGTGAGAGGGAGGGAGGGAAAAGAAAGAAAGAGAGAAGGGAGGGAGGGAGGGAGGGAAAGGAAGGGAGGAAAGAGAGAGGCAGAAAGAGAGAGAGAAAGAAAAGAGTCCCTTTGGAGCCAGAAAGAAAGAAGGAAGGAGGGAGGGAAAGATGAAGGGAAGGGGAAGGGAAGGGAGGGAAAGGAAAGAGAGGAGAGGGAGATAGGGGAGGGGAGTGGGGGAAGGGAAAGAGGAGGGGAGGGGGGAAGGGAAGGGAAAGAGGAGGGGAGGGGGGAAAGGAAGGGAAAGAGGAGGG